TACTATTATGCTGCTGTGTTTATTGTATTTTTCTAACTCTCGCACAACAATTTTCTTCGGGATGAATAAAGCCTTATCTTATCTGATGAGGAGAATAAGGCATCTTTTTTGACACCCAAGAAGTTCTTCAGCAATTTTGTCCACACTGAGGCCATTTGAGGACCATAAAGTTATTTACCAAGTAATCTCAATCTGCTCAAATCACGGTTATAACTCGAGGTCCGATTCCTATTCCTATATTCGACCAGGGATAAGATAATGTTGTCAAACTGCATCTGCTTGTCTTTGGTCTTTGAGGGAATGGAGGATTTTAGTTCCTGTTTTTTCTTAAATAAAAAGAATATACTACGTATTGCCAAGTTCTCTACTGTCAGCCGACAACAGGACAAAGGATATTGTATATCCTCCATGTCGCCCAGCCCTATTTTACATTTAGTCCAGCGTAATACCGATTTTTAAATAATGTGTACAGTTTTAGTTGAAATTCAATAAAGTGGCTTGTGTTGTCCTGACATTTTTGCAGTTTGACAGCTCATAACAATAAACATTTCCAAAAGGTCAGACTGTCCTTTACATAAAGGCGTGGAAATATGTCGAACTAAATAGATTTCGTAATATGAGATCATCTTAGATTTTGGATATTGTGATGTTAGGATATGGTTTCAATTTCAGATTTTAAAGTCTGTATTACAGTTAATTGATGTCATTTTATAATTTATATTATTTGTCTTTCAACCAAGTACCTCCATATTGATACTGACCGTAAGTCACATATCACAAAAACTTGTGATATTTTATATCCTCCATATGTCTCAGCCCTAAAACTAGTTTAACACTTTAGTCTACGGTCATAGATACAGATTATAAAGATTACAGATTCTTAAACAATGTGTNGACAGCTCATAACAATAAACATTTCCAAAAGGTCAGACTGTCCTTTACATAAAGGCGTGGAAATATGTCGAACTAAATAGATTTCGTAATATGAGATCATCTTAGATTTTGGATATTGTGATGTTAGGATATGGTTTCAATTTCAGATTTTAAAGTCTGTATTACAGTTAATTGATGTCATTTTATAATTTATATTATTTGTCTTTCAACCAAGTACCCCCATATTGATACTGACTTACTGGTGGTAAGTCAGTATCAACATGGAGGTGCTTGGTTGAAAAACTTGTGATATTTTATATCCTCCATATGTCTCAGCCCTAAAACTAGTTTAACACTTTAGTCTACGGTCATAGATACAGATTATAAAGATTACAGATTCGTAAACAATGTGTACAGATAGAGAGGTCATTTAATAGTGTTCTCAGTTGTCCTGACATCTGTTCTTCCATCCAGCAGACCACATCGTGCCTCTTCTGATATCCGCGGTGGTCTTCATCTGGGTGCTGGCCGTCACCTCCATGTTGCTGTGGTGTGTGAAGAGGCGGAGGAAACAGAGCGCTCACACCGTGGTCAACACACAGGCGGCATCATCATCAACATCATCAGCTGTAGCCCCGGCAACCGAGGACAACAACGCCCTCCACAACAGCGTCAGCACCACCCGCGAGCAGCTCAACCACATCAAGAACCCCATCGAGAAAAACACCCCCAACCTCCAGCAGCACCTCCTCCATCACCACCACATCTGCGAGGACAAGAACGCGGTCAACGCCAAGATCAGGAAGTCGGACGGCGGGAGCCAATCAGACGAGGAGGAGATGGACAAGAGGCTTCAGAAGGCGAGGTTTCCCAGAGCACCGCCGGCATATTCGCTGGTGGACTGGGAGGAGCGACCCCCCCATCATCTGACAGGCAAACACTGGACAAACAAACAGGACAACAGGCAACTTCAGTCGCAGAGTGTAAACAGGACGGAGTACATTGTATAACCATCGGGGCTCAAAATGACTGGACAATCCTTCGAGATCAAACCGCCCAAAACGGGGAAAAACGTTATCTTTTGTTTATTTGTTATGTTGTTTTTCCTTCTGGACTGATGGATGTAATTTATGACGCGGATCTGGACGGTCCACCGCTGGATCTCCGATACTGCGGACACTTTTCGTTAAATTTGGACGTGCAGGAGCGTTTTTTTTTTTTGAGTTCAATAATGAGTTTTGTAGTTTGAATGTGCTGCAGCAAAGTTGGAAAATATTTATTTAGTTATTTGCGCGACCAATTTTGAGTCATTATGAAGAATCGTCCGTGTAGAATGTTTCTGTAAAGATGTGTGAATATATTTTTTGTATTAATCAATGTGTATATTTGGATTTATTAACTTAATCATCAAGAGCCTTTTTTTTTTATTTATGAGTTGAAGCTTTGTAAGCTCACGATTTCTTGATGGAAATATTTTTTTTTTATATAATTTTAACGCCAAAAGTGTTCTTGGAAAAATAGTTTATTTTTTAGCCTTTTGGATTTGGGCATTTTTGTGCCTCAATTGAATGTTTTGTACATTGTCTGTGAGGCCGTTTCGTTGGTATGTTTGCCAGAATGTTATGTTGTAAGCACTCTACACGTACATGGAGAGAATTGATGAATTGATTGATGGTTAGAGACAGATTTTGCTGCTGCAGGATCCTTTTATACAAACCAACATGGTGGCCCATATACTGCTTTTGCTACTGAAATTAAATTCTTTAAGGGACGCAACTTTTTTTTGCAATTATTTGTACAATTTGTACAGTGTAAAAAAAAAAAGAGTTGAGCACAGGCTTTCTGTTTCCATGTTTGTAACAATCTGAATGAGCCCTGTAGAGTTTGCATCCAGTGTGAACATTGTGTGAAAACTTGAGGTCTGAAACGTCACAGGAAACCATTTTAGGAAGTACTGAAAGAGAGAGTTTAACACTTTTTGTGACATGTTGCCTGTTGTTGATTGGAGGGAAAAGTAAGGCTGTGAATAAGAGTTTGTTTACAGTCGTCAGCCTCTTCTAGTTCATGATGGAGGAAAAAATAAAACGTGTTTTTCTCATACATTTTGCTTCTGTGTTTTTTGGACCTTGAGAAATAAAGTATCTGCTGTACCTGTAACAGTGAGCTTAGTAAATAACTAATAACTCTGATCCAGCCGATCTGTTACTTTGAATAGAAACAATAATATTGATTTACCTAAAGCTAATGTTCACTCTTCATTACATTTACATTCAGGTCCATATTTGTATTTTGTTCCTCTCCTCTGACATGTCTCCATGCTTTAATGTTCAAAAAGCTCTTTATTTTTCTCATACTGCCTGTGCTGCAGCACCTCTGTTCACCCTCTGTCTGAGACTGCCAAGGCACACAGGGTGCTCTGATTGGTTAGCTGGCCGGTCTGCTTATGATTGGTCAAGCCACTTAGAGATGTCCCACCCTTTGCCTATCACGTACAATGTGTTGGAGCGATAGCCAATAGAAGTGTTTAATTGTTACATAGTGAATGTCATTATGTTCTGGAAGTAACAAAGACAAACAGGAAAAGGCAATAAGAGCAGAATAAGAGCCCCTTAAAAAAATGTATAACTGTATTATATAATATTATTGATCACAAAAAAAACTACAGAAAGTGAGCATTCCAGGAGGACATTAGAAAGGTGATGCACAATGCTGGGACAATAGTTATGTTTTCCCTTTAACTTCAAAATGTTCGTTCTACCACAGCTTCCATCTTTCTTTTATCCAAATCTTAATCCTTATTTATCTCGCTGAATGCTGCCTGATGTTAATCACATAAGAAAGAAAATAAAAATGTTTTCCAAAGTAGAATTCTTGTTTGAAACAATGCTGATTTAATTAAGCATATTTGATAGTGGGTTAAGATTGATAATAGGTTATGTACCATAAGTTATATCAAAAGGAAAATAGTTTCATCCATGTATCTCGTGCTTTTGTTGTTGCTGGTTTGTTCCTCCTTCACCCAGACGGACATCTTGCTTCATGAAGGCGTTTAACGCGGGGTGGAAAACAGAATTCCTTTTTGTTTCTTCCACCTCCTCTGTCTATATCTCATCCCACACTGTCCTCTGCAGACATGGTGAGAGCGTTTATAAAAGACCCCTACACCCACTGTTCCTCACAGATAAAAACATTTGAACATTTTGAATAAATGCTTTTTCGCCGTAATTTCTTGCCCCGATACTCAAACTTTCATCCTGACAGAGCAGAGCGCGGGGAACCACAATCCCTGCTCTCCAAACGGCCTCCAGTTGTGGTGGCCTCGAGAGGGGGAAAGGCTTGTGTTTTATGTGCATTCTTTCTGCCAGTGATTTTTCAAACGCGACCTAGGGGAATCCAAATCTCCTGCTGATAAGCCAAAGAAGTCTCTGTCATGGATAAGAGTGGGGTTTTATCCGATCATTTGATTGCTTTGTGGCGGTGTGGGTTTTCACGATCTGGCTACTAACATGATGCCAATCTCTCCCTCGCTGTGTGTAAAATCCCCTCGGCTCTCTCTGCCATTATGGTCCAGACCACAACTTCACTGCTGTCTCTGTCCCTTCTGTTTTTCTTTGAGAACATCACAAATCTATTTTAAGAAGAAAATACCTTCACTTAATTAAGTTTTTTCCATTCAACCCTCCTACATCAAACATCACCTAATCCAGGGGTGCCCACATTTCTTCAGTTTGAGAGCTACTTTTAAAATGACACACACCCAAAGATCTATCTACAGGGCAGCCCTTGCCCAATCTGTGTCGCGAGCGGGGGGGGGAGGTGCTAGTGCCTAAACGGCGGATAAACTGTGGCTGATTACACTAATTGACGCCGCATAAGCGCATAATAGTGCCGCATTTGCGCTTATCGGATGAGGGAGGTAGGCCCCTCAGGTAACTGCATGAACCCGTATGGCCAATACAACATCAGACTGGCTTTACCTGTACATCAATCAAGTGGAAAATGCCATAGTAAGGATGAGATGAAGGCTAACTTAAAAAGTAAAAATAATCTTTTTTTTTTTTTTTTTTCAATGTCACTGCGATCTACCCACACCACCTTTGCGATTGATGTATTGGTAAACCCTCCTTCATTCCCTCCTTAATCTCCATTCAGGCCTCCGTATTTCCCTTTACCCATCCCTGACGTACCTTCAGTCCCTCTCTGTATCCCTTTATCCATTCATCCTTCCTACATTCATTCCTCCATACATAACCTAAGTCGCTCCTCACATCCCTTCACTCCCTTGTCGGATCCTCCGCTTACCCCTTTATTTGTTTTATGTTGTATGCGTGTGGTCCTTGCTAGCTAAACATAAAGTATTTACAGGTTAAACTATTTGCATTTCTGAATGGACCCTTTTTGATTTTTACATTTAGTCAGTTAAACTTAAGCATCTAATTTTTGGTCTGCTTAGGGTTTTCTGAAATCTTTAAGGGTCACAGTTTTTTATATTTTTGAATCTGTTTTTCCTTTTTTCCAGGCAGCTGTTTCTATTATAAACTGGCAACTGGAACACGTTCCAGTAGATCCATTCGTCCTCAGTTATTATTCAATTAGACCCCATTATAACACAGTGATAATGAAAGTCTGCATTGAATGCACATCTCACGAAAAATTCCTTAAATGAAAAAGGTCTTTCCACCATTAGGTTACTTTGTGGTTGCTAATTTCTCATATTTTTGTGGTTTCCATTTAATTTAACTCGATGAATAAAGTGGAACCTCGAAAACTCTGATCCAAAACAGAACTGTTATATGACCTAAGTCTCCTTACACCCCAAATATGAAGTGTTTGATCAGACAAACAACAGACTAAAGGGGTGAAGCTGATCTAGAGTTTGACAGTAGAGGAAAGGTCAGGCATCACACAATAATCCCAAACGTCTCTTATATCTCGGCACACAAAGTGAAAATATAACAGTCAAGTTATTTATTGTGTAATTAAGTACATGCAAAAAATGCAAATTGGAAGAAACATCTGAAATCATCAATAAATGTATTTTAAAAAAGCAACATCGCTAAGGCACCTATCAGACAACACACAACACACACACACACACACACGCGACGCGCACACATACACACTAGGGGAATTGAAAATGATACCCTGAGACTTACAACATAATACCCTACAAGTAAACTACAATGAATGATTCCAAAGGTGAAGACACGTGACTGTGTAAACATTTTAGACCACAAGTAGTTAAAAAAATATAGGCCACACCACCAAAACAACACAAAACAACACACACACACCACAACACACACACAACACACACAACACAAACACACAGAGACACAGAAACCTGTGGTGTGTGCTTGGTTCCAGTCGTCCACAGTCCACCAATAGTTCAGATTGGTCTTTTTAATTAGAATTTTAAAGAACATGAAATCAGAACAAGCTGCTGGCAACAGAGCTAACGTGATCGTTAGGATCACCACGCCTGGCCGCCTCACAACGCTCCACAATCCATCCTGAGAACCCGAGTACTGGCCCCATTATGCCAAAAGCAGGCAGAGGGGAAGGGGGTGCCAGACGGCTTTTAGTTCAACGAAGACGTTTAAAGTTTAGAGACCGTTTTGATGCTACAAGCCTCCGTGGACAAGGCCATTAGCACTGCCAAAAGGGGTTGGGGTTCAATGCCTGCTGTGACCAATGCTATACTGTGAACAGATGTGAAGCTGTGAGCTTTCAACCCCAAGAGAATCGATTCAAAGTCAACTCCAGTCTGGTTGTTATGGATGTTGGTAATTTAAGAACTCAAGTGTTTTCACAAATTGCTCTGTTAAGGGGTGTGGTGTGGAGTGTGTGTGTGTGTGTGTGGTGTGTGTGTGTGTGTGTGTGTGTGTGTGTGTGGTGTGTCGTGTGTGTGTGTGTGTGTGGTGGTGTGTGTGTGTGTGTGGTGTGTGTGTGTGTGTGTGGGTTGGGGTGTGGTG